CCCGCCGAACCCCCCACCGCCCCTCCCCGCGCGCTTCGCCGCCTTGGCGCTCTCAACGACCTGGCTTTTGCGACCCAGCTCCTTGGCCGATCCAAGGGAGGACGTGATGCTGGATAGTAGGGAGATGAGCTGTACGTCTGAGCGCTGCTCGAGGGTCTCGGACTGGAAAGCGGAGGCGGCGGTTGGGGTTGCGGGGGTGAGGAGGGGGAGGCGGGCTGTTAGGGCGCGGAGAGAGCGGAGGATTGTGTGGTCGAGTGGAGGATCCGTGGGAGAGGTGGGGGAGAAGGGGAGAGAAGCGTCGGTTAGGTAGGAGGGTGGGAGGCTGGAGAGGTAGGCACGCAGGAGGGAGATGCGGCGGTGGAGCATGCGGATTGCGTTTTGCTTTGCAGTGAGGGAGGAGAGGACTGCGTGCAGGTTGGTCAGCTTGTTGAAATCGGGGAGGGCTCGAGAATCAGTGCCCATTGTGGGGTGGTCTCAGACATACGTTCTTCATCCTCGGGCGAAAGCTCCAAGCTCTCGCTCTCCACAGCCCCATTCACCTGCGCATCTCCCGCCCTCGCCTTGCCCTTCCCCATACTGGACTTCCCCGCAGCACTGCTCTGGGTCTTCGTAGTATCCACGGCCGTCGCGTTCCCCCCGCCCTTCGCGACGAAGTCCACCCCAATCATCTCCGTCTCGCCTGTCTCAACCGAGTACGGCAATTCTCTGAACCTGAGCTCCTTGCCTTCGCCACCTGGTGCGTCGATCTCCATGCTCGACTTCTCCGCGCCGGACCGCGGCTCCGTGACGCTCTCGTAGATGGTGAGGGGCAGCTTGCCGCCTGTTGCCGTGCCCTCGAGGACGGCGGTGGGGTGGAAGAGCAGCAGCAGTGCGGACTCATTGTAGAGGGTCTGGAGGTAACGGTGGATAGGGAGGTGGGTGTGTTGAGGGCCGGAAGGTGGGGCGAGGGTGAACCATGCTACGAGGTCGAGGGCGGGGGCTTTGTGGACATCCTTGACTGCAGCGATGTCAGCTTCGGGAGCCATTCTGAGCAAGGGACAGAGGTGGAAGGCCGAGATAGTGGAGCGAGGAGAGCTTACACTGCTCCAACCGGTCGTTGAACCACTCGTTGTCGAGCACCGCGTCACCGTCGTCGTTTGCCTTGACCAAACACTCAAATGCGACTTCCAGGGTGATGGTGCGGCCATCTTGCTGGCCTAATATCGCGCCTACGACCGGCCCGTCTTGTTTTCGTAGCGTGTGCCGCGTGATGTAGTCGGATATTGTGAGGAGAACAAGAGGGTGGAGCTGGATCTGTGGACTGGTGTCGGATGCACGGGCGGTTGATAGAAGAGGGTTTGCCTCGGCCATTGTGGAGCTGGTGGGAGGCCCGATGGCGCTGGTGAGGGTTATGAGGCCGAGGAGGCCGGGGTGGAGGCAGTGGTCGCGTGTCGGAGGATGTCTGCTGTTGGTTGTGTGTTTCAAAGTGAAGCTCTGGTGGGGGCTCGGGTGCTGGCGTCACAAACAGCGAAGCTCTCCGGCGCGTCAGCACGTGGTACTCCGCCTGTGAATACCCAACTCCATCTGTAGGCTAGGCACCTAGGTAGCTGAAGCTGGCAGGTCGTCCTTTAAAGCCTACTTCCATGCTCTCTCGATAGTGGTTGCGACATCTTTCTCGGTTAAAACGTAGTATACAGTAACCGTACAGAATCCCTCCATTTACTGATCCACCACAGCCAAAGTCCTAAGCCTAAATCCTCCTGGAAGAGAATAGAAGAAACCCCTTCGCAGCGCAAACAATGGTATCCAAAACCCGTCCCAGCCCCTCCTGACTCCTCAAAACCGTCTACTCTTGAGCAACCAAGCAAAGCGTTTCTAGAGTCTTCGTAGAACAACAAGACAGAAAGAACACAGGACGGTTAGTAACACAGCACATCGTACACTACAACCTGCAGCTCCTCACTAGCCCCTACCTCCCCCACTCCCCCGACTCCCTCATCGGCGTCTCAACATCCAGCTCTTCCTCACCATCTAGTCCATCTTCCGGCCCTTTCTTCAATCCACCCTCTACCTGAATCCCCCTTCTCACCCACTCCATCCCCTCCACCTCCTCCAAACTCTTCCTCCCCCGACTAACCTTCTTCAACAACCCCTCCACCACCTCCCTCACTCCCTCCCACCCCCTGCCCCTAGCAGGATCCCACTCCCCCTCCTCATCCCCACACCGCCACCACACCCAATCGCACCTCGCAATGCGATGCACCGTGCGTCCTCTTCCCCCATAGCCCCTCCGTTTCCCCGGCCCGGCGGGCGCGGGATCGAATGGTAAGCGGCCCTCGACTAAAGCGTAGAGCAGCACGCCGAGCGCCCAGGCGTCGGTTTGGCGGCCGTCGTAGGACTGCCCGAGGAGGATCTCCGGGGCCGCGTAGTCTTCGGACCCGCATCGGGTTGTCAGGAGGGGGGAGGCGGGATCGATGAGGCGGGAGAGGCCGAGGTCGGTTAGGGTTATTAGGGGGTTTGGATGCGTTGGGAGGTTGTTTAATAAAGCAAGAGCGGAGAGGGGGAGGTTGACGAGGACGTCTGCGCAGAGGAGTCAGTTCGACTGATACGAAACGGGCTTTCTCTTCAGCGCGGGAGTGCGGTAGAAGAAACAATACTCACTCTCGAGCTTGATATCCCTATGCACAATATTATGCCCGTGCAAATACCTCACCGCGCCCACCAACTCTGCAAACATCCTCCGCACCACCGGCTCCGTAAGCATCTCGCGCCGCTCACTCGCCATTTCGAACAGATCCCCGCCCGGACAATAGCCCAGCACCAGCAGGGCCTTCTCGTCGTCGCAGTCGAACGCCCTCAACCTTACGATACACGGATGCTTGACCCTCTTCAGCATCTCGACTTCTCTTTTCAGGCTCAGCTCGATGCGCTCTTCGTCTGCGCCGCCCGCGGGGCCGTGATGCACGACTTTGACGGCGACGAGGGCGCGCCGGTTGAGGGATGATTCGGGGGTCGAGGGCGTGACGCCTGGCTGCGAGGTGCAGAGGAGGACTTTGCTGAAGGTGCCTTGGCCGAGTTGGCGAAGGGGAAGGTAGCGGACTGGTTTGCGGGAGGCGCCGAGCCGGATGGTGAGGTAGTTTGCTGCGGGCACCTCGGCTTCGGAGTCTTGGAGGTCGGGCTCGGAGGTTGAGGTGCTGCTGCGGTTGCTTGGAGGTGGGGTGGGGAGATTTGAGGGGCCCGCGGGGTTAGTGGAGGTGTCGAGGCCGCGCTGGGCGGCAAGGTAGGCTTCGCGGTGCATGGATGTGATGGAGGACTTTCTGTCTGGGGATTGCGGATCCATGCCTGGGAGGGTGACGTTGCGAGGTCGGGTGTTGTGGAGGGGTTCTGGTATATATTCGCTGAGGCTTCTGTTGCGTGCGTGTGCGGCTGCGTTGTGTCTCTCTGCGCTTCCTCTTAAACCGTCGGCTGCGCCAGGTGTGAGATTCCCATAGGTTTTCCTTTTTGGAGGTGAGGTATCTAGTGCGGCGGGGGAAAGCATATTGAAGCTCTCGTCGCGGGGGAGGCTGGACGGTCCGCCCCGGGAGCTGGGGTGTACCGTGGTTGTGGCAGCTCGGTGCCATGGCCCCGGTGAGGCCTGCGTCACCAACGGCGAGGGCAGAGGGGTAATGTCTTGCAGCGAATTCAGCATCGGAGAAGATAACGCTGAGCCTGGCGACAGCGAGCTGGCCATGCTAGCCTGGGAAAGCCTGGTCCTCAGCACCTGTCCCTGGATGGGTATAGGCGCGGTGGCTGCGTGCGAGAGGTAGCTGTCGGCTTTGCTCTCGACTATTGTAGGGGTAACGGGCGAGTCTTGCGGCGTGGACACAGCAAGCGCGTCGAGGTCGGTCCGCAAGTGTAGGCCGGCGTCTGAGGGTGTGCGGACACATGGAGGAGCGGGAATGTGAGGGAGGGAAAGTGGATGAGCGGTCGGGTTGGTAGCAGGCAGTGCAGCGGTATGTGAGACAGGCTGGGTGTTGGCAGCCGCGAAGTCTGTACGAGGTCCGGCTTGGTATGTCTCGTCATCTGAGTATACGGCGTTATCGCGGGGGTAGCAGCTGGCGGGCAGCGCGAACTGCTGGAGCTCCGCGATAGGCGTGTTGGTGCATGTCTTGGGCTCTGAGCGAGGCAGACGGGCCTGTGTCGGTGCCAGGGGGCTGCGGGACTCGCCCATCTTGGTGTGAGTAGGTATGTGTAGAGGGAGCGGTGCAGGTGCAGGTACAAAACAACCTTACTCATACAGTACAAGCACAACGACCTCGATGCTGCAGCGCCAGGATGCGTGGATGCGTGGATGCCCTTGCGTCAGCGCGCGGCTCGCCAATCGAAACCCTCCGTAGCTCCACCTGCGCGCTTGGGGCTTGAGGGTCTCTTAGCATCCACAGACTCCACCTCACTTCAGAGAAAGCAATTGCATGTTAAGTAAGCTGCGCAACATACAATGCTCTGCGAAGTATGTCCAGACTATAACATGCTGGATGAGGAAAGATGCGATCCAAACTCTCACGAACCCCGCCCATCAGTCACCCACGTCATGCACCACTCATGCACAAGACCTGTGGCCGCTGTGGAGACGCGAACCATGACTGACCACCGGTATCCCATTCCCTCATGCCCATATCCTAACTACAGGCTGCCAACTATTCGCCAGAAGAACCATCCCAGCCAGCATCTCCACCCTCCAGAGCAGCATACCAACTCACCATGGTTCAAACTTCCCAGGCCGCTTCCGCGTTCTACAAAAGATGGCTGTTTCATTAGCCACGAGTTAAAAGATCTCAATCGCAGGAGAACCCAACCGGCCACCAACACTCACTTAGCCTGCTGAAACGCCCCATACGGACTGCGATAATACGGATTGCCGTACGGCTGTCCCTGGCCCATTCTCTCCGGAAGCTGGTGCTGGTGCTGTCCCTCCTCCACTATCCCCTGCGCCATCATGTACTCCCTCTGGCCGTGGCCGCTGTTCTGCGCGTAAGGCTGGCGCATCGGATAGCCGTAGTGCTGGTGTTGGTGTAGCGGCTGCGGCTGCACGTCGTAGGCCTGGGAGCTCATCTGCTGCTGCTGTGGATGCTGAGGGTATTGCTGGTGCTGCGTGCCGCTTAGATGGAGGTTCGTCATCGAGGCTGAAGGTGTCGGCACCACAATATTCCCCCCCTGGTCCTGCAGCTTCTCCCAGCTATCCAGCTTCTTCTCGAACGCCGCGACGCACGCCTCCAGCCCGTCGATCTTGTCGCAGAGGCCATTGTTCGCCTCAACCAGCGCGTCCACCCTGCTGATTAGCTTGTCCTGCACCGTTGTAGCTAGCTTCTCTACCGTCGCGCGCAATGCTCCAGTCTCGCCTGATGCGCGGCCCATGTTGTGTTCCACAGCATTCAAGCTTGCCCGGACGTCCGCGAAGTGCTCATTCAGAACTTTGAGTGTCTCGTCGTGCTTGCTGCCGATCATCTCCACCGCTTTCTCCTGATTGGTGTCCGTAGCGTGGTGCAAGGAGCTCGCGATATCGCCGAGGTGGTGGTGAACGACGTCGAAGTGGGTGAGGAGGCCTGGATCTGCGAGGAGTGGTGGAGCCGCCATGGCCGAAATCGGCGGCAGAGAGAACTCCTGGTGGCCGTAGAGAGGGGTGGGCATTGCGCTGGCTGCCTCCGGTGAGAACTGAGGGTGTGAGCGACGAGCGGGGCTGTAGGTGTTGTTGAGCTCTTGCTCGAGGAGCGGTGTCAGATCGGATGGCAAGTAGGGCTTGGTGGGTTCGCTCGGCTGTGGATGGGGTTGCGTGGGCTTCTCTGCTGAGAGGTTGTTATTTTCTTGCGACGTCTGATTGTAAAGGTCAGCGGCTAGCACGACAGATCTAATGAACGTTGCTCGGGCGGCTTCACGGAGTGAAGGTCTTGTCGTTCCCCGAATAGCTAAAGTTAACGGGTTCTTCAATAAACCCACCTCTGCAGGCCGTATGGCCTGTCGCTGCGGTTCATCAATCTTGAGCTGAGAGCGCATCTTGTTTGTCGAAGCCTCGGTTGCTGGTTGAGTGACGCTTTGAGCAGTAGGCTGGTCCTCTTTTATTCCAAGTGAAGCCTTCACAAGCGAAGTGATGTCCTTCTTGGATGAATCCTCCGTCTTCACCCGCGCTTTCGTAGGAATTTCGAAAGTCGTCTTTGCTGCGTCCGGCGTGATCTCCTCTTTTCTACCCTGAAAGACAACAGGAATAGTAGCGTCGCTGATTTGCGATATTTGACTTGCGGTAGAGACGTTGCGCGAATGTTCTTCCTTTATGTCGGCGAGGCGGTCGGTGTACTATCGAGTTCCATTTTGTCAGTTGCGGCTATAATATCGGGTAGGAGGGGCTGCTGAACTGGAACGGGAAGGCATGTCACACGCTCCTGTGATCCTCTGTGGAAACGCGACGCAAAACATGGATGGCCGTGCGACTGTTGGTCATATTGAGCAAACATGGCATGATACTGACTTGCAGACACGTAAATTATGACATAGCAGCGAGCAAAGAAAACCGAGAACTCACCTTCTGTACCGGCTGAAGCTTAGGCGACTCAAAAGGCTGCGAGTAGATCGACGGACTGTAGTACCGAGTAGGAGGCAGCAGCCCACCCGGCAGCAGCCCATCCAGCCTCCGTTGGTAGTCTTTCACACCATCACTCCAGCGGCCAACATGTTGCTGTGGCGTCTGAAAGCCGGTCGCCGGATCAAAGCCAGCAGAGCGACTCTGCACATCAACAACGGCTGCACGCATGGAGTAGATGCTGGGCACCTTCTGCACGAGACTGCCGACGCCTTGGGGACCGCAATCTACGAACTTGGCTAGACTCACCTCGCGTTCAGCGACTGGCGATAGTATGCCATCACCATTGTGAGCGGCCTCGTACTGGCCGGTGGTGATGCCCAACCCAGTTCCTCCAAGCGCATTCTCTCGCTTGACATGTGGTGGTGTATCCTTCTCTGGAGGGGTAGGCGGTGGCCTCGAGGGGCTTGGAAAGCTGAGCGACTTCTCAAAACTGGGCCTGAGAACCGCAATCTTGCTCGGCGGGCTCGACGATGGGCGTACAGGTTCGGAAGCTGCTTGACTAGCCGGCGTAGCGGCCTTGTACCGCGCGTTGCTATTCATACTAGCAAACTTGACCGGCGGGATCATATCCTCATCCGAGTCGTGCTTTTCAAATAGCTCCTTGGGAAGAGACGTGACCGTATGCGACCGCTGCGGCCTCTTGAGAATAGGCACAGGTACGCGCTTCGCCGTTCCCAGCACCTGATGCGCTTTGGGACCTACACCTGGCAGAAACGGCAGCGGCGCGATGTCCCCTCCATCCTCAACGATCATGCCCTTCGTCGGCGATCTGGCGCGTGTGAACGGGATGCTAATGCCGAGGACCTTCTTCTGCGGGCTCTTGGGCGCCTGGCCTTTCTTGCTGTTCGACCTCGTCAGGTCCCTTAGAGTGACGACAGGATTGTACGACTCCTCCGTAGGCTCCTCGAACGCGACGCGTGGCGTTGACGGCTCCGAAACGTTCATGCCCATCATCTTCTGCAGCTTGCTTTCATTGCGTCCCTCAATCTGCTGACGAAGCGTCGGCTGAGCGTCGGCTGTGTTGCCTGGGACGAGATGGAGCGGCTCCAGGCGGCGAAGGAGGTCGCGGCGAGGTTTGTTGCTAGGGAGGTCGGGCGTGTCGGCCCCGAAGGACCATGTTGTCACTGCCGGCGAGGGCTGTCGCGGAAGCATTGATATATCAGACTGACGGGCGTCGCTCCCTATCGTGGAGGTCGCTGGGGCGCGGAGTGTTGTGCCGGACATAGGATCTGGCGAACGGCGTTGTTGTTGGTAGAAAGCGTTTGACTTGAGCTTCTCGGTTTCCTGTTGGTAGAATGCGTTGCCTTGCAATCTATGTTTCTCGAGCTCGGATGCTTTGCGTGCGTCCCAGCCAGAGGATGCGGAGGAGACTTCGGATTCATGTCCTGGGATGGACAGCTTCAGCGGAGGGCGTTTTACTGGTGGCTGGGTCTGAGAGTCGACCTTGGGAGCCATGGTCAAGGAGCGACTGCGGTGAGCAGAAGTACGCGGTAATGACTGAGCACGCAGAGCGAGAAACAAAGTGCGGGCAAAAGCAGATGGGAGATTTTGGATGGTTTCGAGTGTGCGGACGGAGAAGAGGTTGTGGAGTGTTGCTATGGTGAAGGAAATTTGTTCCCAGCTGCACGATCGTCAACACTGATAAGATGACGGACCATGAATGCCACGAGGCCTTCCGTAGTGTCAACTGGGCTAAGGAGATTGATCGAACAATACATTTTGGTTACTGACTGTACTGAGGAAGTATGAATACCCTAACACAGCCCTGTGAAGCAGACAGTGAATTGTGTACACCTTCTGAAGAATTGTCCAAACTGCCTGACTGAAGCGTATGATGAAATGCAAGCGCGTATCAGCTAAGGAACTACATTCTGACCGCCTAGATACCTACGCGTTTTCGATCTGAAGCTTCACCACCACGGGCCGCACAGCACCTAGAGCACATCAATTATCAAAACTGTGATCCGCAAATCCTCTAAAAAGCGTGTGTCAGCTCAGAACTATGCTTCACAGTCGTATCAATCAGGCTTGATCCGTAGCCAGGGTAGATTGACCAATCCTCCTATCGTGCGTGGTGGCAGATAGAGTTCCTGTAGTTAGCATGTTACTGGATTTCGAGCCATCTTCACCAGCGCTCATTTCATCTTGAGCTCCACTGAGAATTGGGAAAGTGCTTATGAGAATGAATCTTAAACAAGAACCGCTACCCACAGAGCGCCCAATCTCCACAACGCAAGGTATCTCCTGAACCACCCACGCCTGCCCCCAAGTAAAGTGCAGAGTAAGAAATCTTGTGCCAACAGCTATACGCGCTTCTCGATCGGACTACAGGATCACACAACCTCCTCGCTTGCGGCTGCTCTTAGTGGCCTTTTGTGGTGGTTCCAGTGCCGCGACGATAGCCTATTGTCAGACGTGAGTGAACTTGCGTGAGTATGGAGAAAGCTCTGCAGAAACCGATCACGTACCTCGTCGAAAACGTCCTTCAGCTTGTACTGTGTAAGCGCCGAGCACTCCACATACTTTACCGCACCAAGCTCCTTCGCCATGCGCTCGCCGTCGGCCCGCTGCACAGGTGCCATCTTCTGCTTCGCCAGCTTTTCCCGGACTTGCGGGTCGTCCCGAAGGTCGACTTGGGTGCCGACAATAAGGCAGGGGACGCCGGGGCAGTGGTGGTGTACTTCGGGGAACCACTTCTCCCTCACGTTCTCGAAAGATGCGGGCGAAGTGACTGAGAAGCATACAAGGAAGACATCGGTTTGGGGGTACGATAGCGGCCGAAGTCGGTCGTAGTCTTCTTGACCGGCGGTATCGAAGAGGCCGAGAGTGTATGGCTCGTCACCGATCCTGCATCAAGTTCTGTCAGTCCATGGTCACGGTAAGTGCGACTCTAGTAGATGCGTGAGTTGTGCGTTCAGCAGAGGTTGCGGGCGCTCTACTTGGAAAGACCATCGGTATACAAGCGCTTGTGCCTCTCTCTGCGCCGCAACGAGATCAGCAGGACTCACATGACCGTGACCGCATAGTTGTCAAACACGGTTGGCACATATTCCGAGGGGAACTTGTTTGTCGTGTAGCTGATCAGAAGGCACGTTTTGCCAACGGCACCGTCTCCGACGACGACGCACCTGGTGTGGGGCAGTAAAGTCAGCAGTTGTACACCGTATCGGAAGGCAGCGCTGCTTCCGCAAACCCATCCCGAGTGTGGTCTGTGGCGTACTTTATCGTGGCGACAACCATGCTTGCAATGAGGGTAGCGGTATAGTTATTGAAGTTTGTGGGAGGTCAAGTCGAAGGTGAAGTGCTGTCGCTAGTGATAAAGCGCAGAGCGAATGGCCTCGCAGGCGTAGTGTGTATGTATGCGGCGTGAGCTATAGCGATGGAGAGCGGCTACGGTGTGAAAGATGGTGGTGTTGGGATATACGGTCGGTGAAGGATGCTATCCAAGAGGCGCCAGATAAGGTAGGGCGGAGCCTGATTCGAGTCAGAAATCCGCCGTGGCAAGGTCGAGCTAGGCAGTACTTGCGGTTGTGGATGCCAATTACCGTAGATGCTGGGCGGGAAGGCAGAAGGCGCGTGCTACGCGGAGCTCTTCGTCGTTGAAACTTGAAGGTGTGCAGGTCGAGGTCCGTGTTTGGGCTTGAGGTGAGCTTCCACCTTGGTGGTGAGGCCGGTCAAACTTCGGGCGGGGCTTTCGAGCTGTTGAGGGGAACTGGCCTGCTGGTGTGAGAGATGGAGGTTCGATCGACGAAGAGAAATGCAGGAGAACTTCCAGTGCGGGACAAAGCACGGCTGGCTCGACGATGCAGTGTGCAGAGGGAGAGGCTGAGGCGCAGATGCGGTGCGGAGTGGTGGGTGCTGGGCTACGGGCGAGGTGATTCGTCGCGTGGCGTGTGGCTTCAATCTGCGGCAGAGACGCCCGCGCGTGGATCTCGAAGCAACGTTACTTACCAGCAGGTACATGCAATCTCTCACTGCTGGGCGGGCCAGAACCTGGGCGTTTCACTTCTCCAGCGTTGTCTTCTTCTTCTTCTTCTTCAAGATTGCAGGATGGACCGAGTTCTTCAACCGCTCTTCCCCCGCGGAAAGCTGCGTAGAGGGCGCACACTGTGGTGTGAAGCGCCAGCAGAAACGCCCAGACATGTGATGGCCGAACGGCTTCTGCGCGAACCCAACACGCCTAAGGTAGGAGGTAGGGTTTCCAGGTATCACAGGGCATCAAATCCAAGTCTCCATAGTGCTTCGGCTGCTCTTCTGTTTGTACCGCATCGTCACTCATCAAAGTAAAGCAGCAGCCATGGTATGCAAGGCTGTTCTCAATAGTTAAGGATACCTCCATCGTCTCCAGCAAATCTCCTTTGCCTTCCTTCCCCCGTTCGTCATCCCCTTCCGCACATTCCGCCCCTACCGCGCCCTCTTCGCCCGAAAAGACTTGGGTCTCACAAGAGCCACATCCGCCTCAGCAACATCCCTCTTCCCCAGCGCCTTCCCACTCATCATGCTCTGAATATAGTCCATGATCGACTTCTCCTTAGCCGGATCCATGCTCCTCTTCTTCAGAACCGATCCCATCACCGACGGCGACATGTCGCGCTCTTCTGCATGATTTGTATGCGGAGCTTGGTATGAGGGGCAGGGATGGCGGACGGCGAGGACTGCCTCGATGTGGCGCTGCGCAGTGTTAGACGGACGGTGGAATGGGAGGGTGGGGGATGTGCGGGCTGGGTTCCAGCTAGCGGAGGATGTACCTCAGAGTGTCCCGCTGCCCTGAGCTGCTCGATCGCGCCTTCCATTCCGGGAAGCGGAACGGGGCTCCCAGATGCCGTAGAGGCCGCGAGGAGAAGAGTAGTGAGTGTGGTGAAGGCCTTCATGTTTCCGGCTCCTCCGGTTGACGTGTGATGTCCCCTTCGGCTTGCTCCCGCGCGGAGTTATTTTGCTGGGAAGAATTCAAAGGATGTGGAGGCTGCAAAACAGCAAGAGAGACGAGAACGGCCGAGGGAATGAGGGAAGGATAACGAAGACGAGTGAGGCTCATCAACACCGAGTCTGGTGGCTGGAGGGGAGAGCAGAAAGTCAAGCAACGGAGAAACGGGTGGGTACCTTATAGGGTCTTTGCAACATTTCACCCCTCGCCTCTTTGCGAGCCGTGGCTAGAGTCGGAGGTGCCGAGATGATGGCTCTGCAAGGGAACGCAGGTCCCACACTGCAAGGTGACTTGAGAACGGCAATAAGTTTCAGAAACACTCCCTCGCGACTGTCACAGGGAGGGAAAATCATCGCATCTCTCATGTCGGTCAGTTCTAGTGTGTTCTTCAGAAGCGCGTTCACAAGCGCGGTATGTGGACGCAACGCGTAAAGTGGTTGAATGTTGGAGACGCAAGGGTCGCCAAGACTTCGCGTTTACGAACAGTTCTACTAGGCTGCAGTAGCCCATAGTGGTATCCAGCCACTCTCGCCTTGTAAAGGGGAGAGTTGTAACCACACCGTTGAACCGATATCCAGCCCCCATGCGCCACCAGGCGCGGTGCTGTTCCAAAACCTGCCATGCTGTCCACTAATCTTACGCCGATCTACGTCAACACCCACAAACGAAAGTGCCGCGCCAAAATCAAAAGGGTATAATGATACTCAAGGCCTGAGTTTTCCAAGCGGCGCTCCAAAGTTGAAGCTCTGTTTCTTCCTGAGCTTGATTGCCATATGCGAATCGTCATTGAGTACCGGTTCGTTCTCCTTGTTCTCCGACGGGCTAGCTAGTTGCTTGGTTTCCGACTCGTCTAAAGGGGCCGGACGGCCCTGCAGCACAGCTGGTTTGTGCGCATCAGGGTCGTGCTCGATCTCTTGCAGTTTGTTCTGCAGTTCGCCCAGCATCGCAGGTGCCTTCGGATGCTCTGGCGTGCTGGGAAGAGCAAGGGGACCCTTGAGCGGTGGATCGTCGTCAATGTCGTAACCTAGCTGTTCCGCCGAGCGGCCGTTGGTGTCCGTGTTGTCTCGGGTGTGGCGGTTGTGAAGAGGCGAGTGCAGTGACTCACTCGGGCTGAGCGCACCCAGCTTCGCAGGCGTATGGCCGGCGTGCTTTACGTAGCTAGCTGGTGCTGGCGAGAGGTGTTTAGGTGTTGGGTTGGGCGAAAGCGGTCTCTCGTGCTTGAGCACTTGATCCACGCCTTGTTCTATGGCACTGGCGATAGAAGGAAAGTGGTTCTCGCCGTTCAAAGACTTCAGCACTGGGGCAGAGTCTTGGTCTTCGGAAATGCTGGGTAATCTGGACATAGGCGAACGTCGTCCGCCAGGCGGCGATGATGACGGTGTGTGCGAGCCTACTGAAGGCTCTACTGCAGCATGCGGAAACTCGTGGCCTCGATGGGCATGATCTGACGCCTGAATAATGGGTCACCAATAGTGTCCCAGTTGATGCACACTCGGCGAAACACCGCTTGGGGATGTCGGTTTGCGCTCACCTCGCCATCCTCCAGCTGACCGTTTGCTCCAAGCTTGCTGTAGTCTGACGCCAGTTGAGCCTTCAATCGCTCGATTTCCTTCCGCAACAACGTCCTCTCCTGTTCCCAGACCTCCCGTTCTTGCTTGAAGATATCCACCTGGCGAGTGTAGAGATTCTCCCAGCCAATCTCTGGAGCCGGTGCGGCAGATCCTGAAGTTGATCGTAACACGTTACGCGGTACGCTTCCCGCTAAGAGGTTGGGCATAGCTGGGTTGCCGAGTATTGGAGCCATTCGGGATGGTTGTGAGAATGTGTTCGGAGCAAAGGATGGGCGTGGAGCGTCAGTCCAAGAAGGTGGAATATCTTCCAGGGATGATCTAGGATATTGTCAGCAAGCTGAGCGCTCCCTTGCCCATGAGACGCCCTCGACCGCAGGTCCCTCGAGTTGTATTCAACTCTACGGGACGCGAAGACAGATCACGGAAGGCCGGCACTTACATGGATGACTGTCGAGGGGTTGAAGCCTCGGAATCGTCTGTGTCAGATGTCGAGGGAGGATCGCTCTGGGATGGATGAACGCCGTTTGAAGAAGTGGAATTGAAGGCGTTCGACGCTGAATTGCTATGATGCTGAGCAGAACTATACTGCCACTGGGAGTTGGTCTGGGCAGCGGTGAGTGAGGGTTGCCGTCTTAGGTGGTGTAAAGGAGCACGTACGAGATAATCCACGGGCACCCCGGTGGAAGCCAGAACGTTGAAGGGAATGTCCGCATGAGCGGAGGAAATTGCGTTGGGTTCCATAGTGATTTCTGCGTTTGAATGCGCAGTTCAGCGAGCTGTGAAGTAAATAGGGCAGTGACGTTGCAGCTGCCCAGATGATCGCGGTGCGCAAGGTTCCTTGCGACAGGCGGGAGGGAGTGCCTTCTGAAACGCATGGATCGCGCCGTACCTGCATGGCCGGGCCCCAGGTAACTAGGTACCTATTCTAAATGCACTCGGACCAAACGCACCTAGCCCTATACTAAAATGTTCGTTTAGTGCGGCATATTCTATTACTAGCATCTGAATCAACCTAGGGAGAGAGCGGATTCGCGCATGTATCTCTAGGATTTAACTAGTGACTTCAATGCCTGTTGAGAGGTTGGCGCAGGTGCTTGTGTATTCGAGCGTCCTGCATTAAGTTTCGGCCTACTACGATTGACGTGAATGTGTCGTTCAAAGATCAAACATGAATGTCCTAGCGAGCGCCCAGAATGCCAGCTTACTTCCTTCAGATATGCAGGATCTGGGAACGACTGAGAACTAATTTCTATAAAGCAAAACAAAACAAGCAGATAACAAGTGTGAGCTACTGCTGCGTCCGGAGATCGCTCCCATCCAACGCACCTCCCCCCTCGATCTCGATCCCTATCCACTCTGCGTTCTCAAACTTCATCAGACCTTCAAGGTCCCGCACGACGGCGCTTTTTCCCTTGCCCTTTGCCTTTGCCTTTAATGCAAACCGACCCGTGTTCTTAATATGTCGCAGATCAACCCTCACCACGATCCTTCGGATCAGAGGCTCCACATGCACTAGCTTGCCGCTAGCGAGTCTATCTACTATAAACTCATAAAGCTAATGCAATTACACTATAAATATGTTCTATATATAGTAGATCTCTTATGCTTCCTCTACCATCTAACATCCAACTGCATCAGCACCCATAAAGTGTTCCTATCTTAGAATAACGCCTTAGGCAATCCTGAGATTAAGGAAATCCTTATTATCCGCTTTATCGATTAAAACGCGTCCGTCTTCTTTTACTAAATAGTATATATAGACTTTATAGCGTGCCTTAAGCGGTAATCTTATAAACTTAGCTATACTTAAGCTATTAAGCATCTATTAAATCTTGATATCGCGTTCTATTATAAATAATAATAACTTACTAGGGAAGCTATTAATTACAAGATTAGAGTTATATTAGTTACTAGTAGGATGTTTATTTATTCAGTTACTTACTATATAGGTTATAGAATAAAGTCGTAGATATACTGGCTAAACTATTTTTCTAGTTTCTATATATATATAAACCCTAAGAGTAATAAACTAACCTTAAATTACACTCTAGTTTATTTTCTTCTATCTACTTATAAGTTTAGCCTAACCTTCTTTAAATCCCCTACCTACTCTTTATAGCCCCCTTCTTTCGTAATTCTTATTCTTTTTATCTTTTTATTCTTATAAACCTACTTTTTTCTTCCTTTCTATCCTCTACCTACTTACGCTTATTTCCTCTAAATTATAGCTCTCTACTTCTATATCTACCGCTATTAGTATACCTTTATAGGCTTAGATTAATATAATTCCGTTTACTAAAAGATTAACTACGCCCTATAATAGTTTCACTCTAAAACTACCCCTATAATAATAGCTAGCTATAAGAAAATTATATTTCCACTTATTACTCTCTTTACTACTAATAATACTATAGTCGAGTATTAGCTACTTCTTATTTACTATAGTTTAAATTAATCTTCCACTCCTAAATCCTTTCCACCTAATTCTTTTTAGACTAAGGCTCGCTTCTAAGTATCACGGTTGAATCTAAATATCTCTAAATAGTCGTAAATATGCAATTAATTAAGTAATAGTCGCGTTCTCTTAATACGACCGACTATATACCTATTATTTAGTTGGCTCTTACCGTCCAGGCTACCTTACTATAGCCTAGACCTGTAACACTAAGATCTTAAGAGATAAAAATAGGCTATAGCTATTTAGGCTAATCTACTCCACTTCTTAGTCTTTTATTAGCACTAATATAGAGCCGACTAATATTATAAAGCTATAAGCTTATTTATATCTAATCTACTAAAGAATTTAATTAATAATATATATATTTACGCTTATCTACGCTAGCGCATCTTTCGTCCTATATAAGAGGCTATTAAAGAATTTTTCCTAACTACTATAATAAATCTAAATTCTACTCCTACTACTAACCCTTTACTCTAGTAGCTTATTATCCTAATTTAATTTAAGGTTCTAAAAAATTAGACCTACTTACCTATATCTAACCTAGTAGACTATTTTAACTTCCTTACTAAACTAGAAGCGCTAGACTATTACTCTTATATATTAATTCTTAATTATACTTCTTAGTCCTAGTATAATCTATATCTACTACTTACTCTAAAGTTAGAATAGAAGAAGAAGGTTATCTAGATACTAAATAAAGTCTCTTTAGACTAGGTTAATAAGGAATAGAATCCTCCTTCTACTACTATAGGTAACTATAATTAGTTACTTAATTCTCCCACTTAGAGCTTATACTATTTCTATATTAACTACACCTTTAATTAGTGGTTAACTAATAGTTCTTCTAGACTAATATATAAAATTATTAACCTAAGTTAAGAAACGCTTCTCTAATAAAGTAAGAAGTAAGAAATACGTCCTAAATAAGTTAAGAAGTAATTTTACTACTAGATTATAATACATATTACTAAGTATTTTACTATAGACTTTATTATTACTAACTACTATCCCGCCTATATTACTACTAAAGAAATAGCTAAGCTAGTAAATACTACTACTTATAGAGCTCTAGAGAGCGAGTTTAGATTAAAATTAAAAGTATATTAATAAAATTAAGTATTTTAAGAAGAGGGTATTATTTAAATTCGTGTAGTCTATCTAGATAGCGTAAAGAATATAAAGACTAATATCTAGATTAAAAGAAAGCCGGCTAAAGACCTTATTATATAGTATTAATACTATAATGAAAGCTAATTAAATTATAGTAATTACTTTATTAAGTATACTTATACCTAATACTTTATATCTAGGATTTAATTACTTATATTTAATAGTTTATAATTACGCTATTCTATTTTAACTCTTTATAATAGCACCTTCTATCTTACTAAGCTCTAGCCTCCTTTATAGTATGTAACTGTCCGCCTATATAGCCTATATAACTATTAATAGGATTTAACCTAGATATCTACTAATAAACTCTAGATAGCACTTTCAAATCTATTTCTACTCGCTAAAACTATAGGAAATACATTTACGTGCAAGCGGTCTATAACTAGCTCTATACTCTTTTTATATAGAAAATTATTAAAAACCTCAACACTACGTCTATATACTATCTAAATAATATCTATAAAGGGCTAGAAGGATACCTACTATACTAATAAAGCTATTAAAGGTGGAATTATCGTTATATACCCTATCTATAATAAAGAATAAGTTAGAATTAGCGAGATTTTTTATTGCAATCTAAGTATAGTATAAAGAGTATTTAAAAGAGCTCGATAGCGTGCTAGTAGCTAGAAACTACTTAATATTCTTTAAAATCTTAACGAATATTATCTAGGACCTAGTAAGCTATATTCACCTAGCTTAGAAGTATCTAGTCTTCTAAAAAGTATATTATAATAGAACGAAATCTACTAAAACCTTCTATATACTATAGTTATCTAGCTTGCTAGCTAGTAGCTAGGCTTTTAAATACTACTAACTATAGGCGAGAGAATTCTTTATAAATACTATAAGATATTTAAATACACCCCTATTATTAAACCTAAACTACTTCTATATTATAAAGCTACCTAGGTAGAACTAGCTAAATAGGTAATTCCTAAGCTTAAGTAGGGAGATATCTTTATCTTTAATAATAAGATAAGCGTAGAGAGTAAGAAATACATATAAATACCTAAGGTTTCCCGCCTAAAAGAATTAATCCTATTTAATTTTAAAAGAGTATCTTCTAGAATATTCTAGAGCTTTATATTTTAGGGCTATATAGCTATAGAATATAGTATAGAGCCTTACCACGTATAGAAGAAAGAGACTCAGTAAGAGAAGGAGGTAATATAGTATAAGCTAGATACTAAGAACGCGATTTTATTGTATAGGTAAGAATAAAAAAGAAAGTATACAACAGAGCCTTATTCTTACTACCCTCAATTAGTTACTAGAGAATATTAAATATATATAACGTATTTTACAAGCAAGCGCTATAGTATTACTAGAACCACACCTACGTAATAACTACATAAAATACTATAATAACGCAAAGTCTAAAGAACCTATACTAAAGATAACATCTAGCTTACTATCTTTAATATTAAATTCTAATAAGTTTAAAGCATGTAATACGCTAAATTAATCTATAAAGTCCCTAAATATATAATATAATAGCGACGCGCTAGAATATAGTATTAATATAATTATAAGCCGAATTTAAAGCGCCTAATAAAGCTAGAAGAGAAGGCGATTATATAGCGTGTCTTTAATAAAAGCCTATATAGATTACCATTATTAAAGGTAAATGTATAAGATATAGCTAATAAGCTACTCTAAGAGCGTGGTAGCAATGCTACTAGTAAGAACTAGGTAGATAACTTTATTAAGTATTTATCTAAGCTATAAATATAATAGACCCGCCTATATAATTACTAGCAAGCTACTTATAAGGACCTAGTAATTATATAGCCCTAGTTTATACTAGTGCAGAATATAAAGGCGAAGTATAGTATTATTAATAAGAATATATATAACTTTAATAAGTCTAGCTTTCTAATAGGTAAGATATTATCTTAGCTAGTAGTTATAGGCTTAGAGAAACCTAGTTAATAGAAGAAGCTATAACCTAGTAATTATAAGTAGGTTACTCTAGTATAAGGCGTTAAAGTAATAGAGTATATTATTCCACTCTTCCTTATCTTTACAAGTAAGATTCTTATCTTAAACTAGTTTACTAAGAACCTACTATAGAACTAGGTTATTTAAGTTAGCCCTACTAGCTAGACTAATAATAATCTAGTACTTACCTAGCTTAAATACTTTAACGTGTATGTAAAGTCTATTAGAATATATAGGCTACTAATTATTAATAGCTATAAGAGCTACTATTTAGTTAATTTCTAGAATTAATATAAAGAGAAGAAGATAATAACTCTTTATATATCTCCGTATTTATTGTATCTACTATAGCTACTTAACGTCGCTTACTTCTTACTATTAAAGCGTATATATAACGAAAGATCTCGGTCTTAATATATAGCTATATCCACTATATTAATAAAGAGACCTTTCTACTAGCCTTTAAAGCTACTTTTAGTTAGGTATTTATAGTAGAGAATATCCGTATAGGCTTTAGAGGTACTAGTCTAGTCCTATATAATCTAGAGGTAGTGCTATTAAAGCTTAATATTTAACTATATACGCTAACTCTACTATAATCTAATAATATTACCTAGAAGCCGAAAATACTATATAATACTAGCGAGATAAAAGCGTAGCTAATACTAGTTTAAAATTATATATTAAACTATTAGGGGTCTCTAGTAAGTTCTATTAATAAGTAGGTTAAATAGCTTACTAAAGGTGCTTAGTAGATAGTATATAAGATAGTACTAATATATAAAGAGATAGTACGCCTATAAGATGCAACTAAGGTAGCTATAAAGCGCAAAAGCCGTAAAAGATAATATATATAGATAGAAGAGACTCTAATAGTTAGAGAGGTAGTTAATTTAATCGCTATAAGAAAGTATAGTAGTTATAATAATAGTAAAAAGCCTATAAAGAGGGTGCGCGTAAAGAGGCGCTATAGTTATAGTAAGATTAGGCATAATTCCCGTACCTATAAGGTAGAAATAGAAGATAGAGATAATAGTAGCGCTTCTAAATAATATTATAATATTCTATAAAGTACTATAATCTATTATAGTGTTGTGTAAAGTTGCTATATAGGTATAGCGCTAGTAATACTACGGCGCTCGCTTGGGTGCGGCGCTCGCTTATGAAACACGTTAGCTAATATAGCTACAGATTCGCGGCCTTGATGGATACTCAAACGCCAAAGTGAGAATAAGCGCCCCAAACCCTAGCACTTAGCCCGTCATCCCTCATTTCACGCAGAACTCTCCACAGCGACCTCGCAGACTTCCTCACATCCAACCCACCACTATCACTCAACAATCCTTTGTAAAAGCCCTCCGAAACCCTCGTAGCTTGCGAATCCAGAACAGGCCACCAAGTCGCAATCGTATTCGGCACACCCGCCATCTGAAATGCCCCGCTGATGTGTAATCCCTGTTCCTTAAGCAACATATCCCGGTTTACCGCCACGTCGCACGCGGAAAGGTTGACGAGCTGGCAGTTGTCGAAATCCATGCGCATGAGGATACCGACATCGAAGGGGCGTTTGCGCCAGTCTTGAAGGCAGAGGAGGGATTTCAGAGGGTCTTCTTCTGAGGCTTCGCCGTGGCAGGCGAAGAGGGCGATTGTGCAGGTGCGGAGGGCGGTGACGACAGCTTTGCGGGTGGCGAGGGTCATGAATATCGAGGAGGGATTGCCGAGTGTTGCGACCGTGTAGGAAAGTTGGGAAAGGATGTTGGAGACGGCTTTGATTTCAGTAGCAGCGGCGTCCAGATCGGGCGATTTGTCTGGAGTGAATTTCATGCCTACGAGAACGGCTGATGGCTTCTCAGGAGGAGTCGAAGTCATCCGGTCCATCGTACGGCGAGTGTATTCCAAGACTTGAAGCGTGGGAGTGTAGGAGGATACAGCCGTGTCCATGACAGTGCAAGGCTCGCCCGTGGCAATTGCTCGTCGATGGTCTCCTGCAGCATGAATAGACAAGGAGTTAATCCACCCACTGCATACCCACCAAATTCTCGGTAGCTCTGCCGGCGGAGATTTGCGATCAAAGCCAAGCTCTTTGTAGATAAAGTCGATGACAGGCTCAGCAGCAGCGGTCCAAAGCCAGGTCAAAATGCCTTCGATGATCTCCGTCGCCCTAGCTGGGTCGCGTTCTCGTACTCTAAGAAACTCGTCGAAGTCACCAAGCCGGCCCACGCAATTGGCCCTGTCAAAATCCGGTAAGTGTATCGACTCGATGCGGCTCGTGGTGAGAATAATGGCATGGCAGGTTATGCTGTGGACAAAGGTAACCACTGGGCCCTCAGAAGCATGTCTTTTCAGTTCCTCTGAAGAGCCAGAAGGGAGCATGAAGTCCTCAAACCCTGGCTGTTGTCGAATTTCGCGGAGGAGCTTGTGGTACTCGTCACTGATATGATATCGATTGGACTCGACTGTTTCTTTGAACGTCAATCCTTCGAGCGCCTTGACTTCGTCGTTCTCCTTTGGAAGCATTTTCTGCAGCTCCAAGAAACGTTCGGCCAGGTCGCCATGTTTCTCTTTTAGAGTTGAGATGTCTGCCTTTCTGTTCAGTAAACGGTTCCAGACAAGAGCTCGTCCGCGCTCAAGCAGCCTCAGCATTGCTTCCGGCAGTTTTCCCGCTAGCAGTCCAACGCTCACGGCATGAGAAGATAATGGGGCGAAAATCCGTATCTTCCAGATTTGCTCAGCACGCGTATCAGAGTCTGAGATGACCTCAAGAGTAGCGTCTACGCTGTCAGCTAGAGATTCAGCTGCGTCATTGAGGTCTCCGTGGATCAATGGGATAATCCGTTCCTGGATGGTAGATACGTTGACGGCTGCTGCCCACTTCGTCACTGGGCTGACATTGGGGCTCTTGTACACAATTCTCCACGCGTCGATGGCCTGATTTGCATATTTGGCATCCGAATCGATTTCGAACTGTTTTGCTCGTATCTCCCCCAGAGTGTCGTAGCCGTCGATGAAGGTGAAAGTCTTTTGCCTCCCTAATTCCTGTATCCTCTCCAGTGCATTCACTGCTGCCTCATAGTCTTGTGCTGCTGCCGCTGACCTTTCCCTGCCTCTTCGCAGTAAAGTCTTCGCCAGACCATGAAGTGAATGCACCAGCTCCTGTGTGTCTGTTGAGGACATCTCCACTGCCTTCTCAAAGTGGGAAATGGCGCGATCCAGGTAGGAGACATCCTTGTCACGCTCGAAGAGCTCAACGGCGAGCGCAGCTAGTTCTTCTGCCAGTGCAGCTTTGGCTTTAATGGCCATTGGCAATGGACGGATTACTGCCGATCCGATTGCTATTCGACCAAGTTCCTGAATCAGAGGGCGATATCGCCCTACCGCAATGCGCTCCAGCTTTCGCAACGTTCTCACCATGAGTGCCGTCCGAAACCCAAAAGGAGCGCTCAGTGGATCAGTCAATCTACAGCATCGCATAAGTATGTCGCAGGCTTTTTCGAGGGCTTCAGGAGAGAAGTAGGCGGAATACTGCTGTTCGTATGCCAAACCCATCTCGAAGAGGTAAGGTGCCAAACCTGGAGTTGATTCCCCATGCTGACCCCAAGCGCGGAGCAATTTTTGAGCGAAGGCTAATCCAGATTGTACCGAAGTGAAGCCTAATCCGGTTCTGCTTGCGCTCATGAAGAACGTCTCGTTCAAGGCTTTCCCTGTTGCTTGCATTAAATCAGCGCCGATAGGACTCCGATGGTTTTGAAGTAACACAGGCTGGAGCTCAGCGTATTCCTTTCTCAAGGTCTGAAGTGATTGGCTGTTCGGATTAAGTCGCCATCGAGCGTGGAGAATCCGCATGCGTACCATAGCGAATTCAAGTGCGTCTGGAGCCCGGAATTGGAGGACATCACCGATATCTTCGAAGACATCGAGAGCTTTGTCGAGATCCGTCTGATCTCCAAAAACCTCGAAGCGACGCCTGAGGGCTTCTGCATGATTCACACGGACAATGACCCAGTCGCGAGAGAGGCCATCTCCAAACAAGGCTTCAGCAGCATGAAAGAGCTCAATGGCCATGTGAAGGCTGTCAACAGAGTTGCGTGATTCCGACTGATCAAGCAAAGAGATACCACATGCCCCTAGCAGAAGCGGCAATTGTGGATGGTCGTCGCTCAGTGCGGTTATTGTGCCTTGGGCCAGGTCTAGAGCTTCCTCAATACGTGCCGGAGAGAATGTACGCATGTAACGCACATGAAGAATCCTCATGAGCTTGAAAACGCTTTCTGGATCGTTCGGACGTTCGGCGAGTATGATGCGCAGGTTCTCCTCCACTTTTTCTGCATCCACTTCCATACCGAGCCGTGACAAGCGCTCAAAATAGATGTCGGCGAAAAGCTCAGCAATGTCAGCCGAACATATGCCGTCGTTGAGCTGAACGCATTCTTCAAGTTGTGAGATGGCTTGTTCGGACGAAAACTCGTCGCGGTCATCATTTCCAATGTATATGCCTGCGTAATGCCCTGCCATATACATGCAGCGCTGCTTGGGATCCATAGACGAGGTAGCTTGATCGATATGAGCCTGGAATGCAGCCAACAGACCTTCGGGAAGTGTGCCCTGCTGATCCATGGTGAGATCCTCCGAAATGAAAGGAAAAAGGAGTATAAAGAAATTATGTTCGCGAGGACTATTTCATATATTGACTGAGAAAGTGTATCGTTCGTAAAACTTTCAGAGGCCGTGGACGAGGCCGCATTTGCGGCCTCGTAGACGCCAGGAGGTCCGTGCACTGGATGCGGCTGAAAAACAATCGCCGACCTGCGGACGTAGAGATCAGGCTTCTCCTCGCTAGATCGTCCGACAGATTCTTTTACGACTCCGCTATTGCATCTGATTGAAATCAGGGGTTAGTAAGTAAGATGAGCGTTCATACGCCGCTTCATCTCCGTTACGAGGAGCAAATGAAGGACCACCCTTACGGCCTTGCGCTGTACAAGCCCACCTCGACCAAACTGCTTCGACCCGGCTCAGTCGGGTATTGGAATGACTTGGGTGACTGGCAGCCGATCGCACAGCTTGATGACCCAGAATCACTCCAACAAAAACGTCTGAAAGCGCCAGAGGAAGAGCTAGAACGCGCAAAGTACAAAGTAATTACCGACTGGGACCGCAAATATTCCACCCTGGTTACGGAGACCAATGTGACCGGCCAAGTCGGAGTGTAAGTCCTGGTACAGTCTGGTAGAGGCCTTGGCTAATAAGGTCACAGAGAAATCCCCGGTGCACCTGCCAGCGAAGCTCTGACCTTCGAATACAAATCATCCGGCAACTTCGGCGCCATTTTGATCACGGAGAAACCGATTCATCGAGAAGCGTTCCACCACGAGTCGCCATTTAAACGATGGGTGAAGGATAACGTGGACGCCCTGATGGAATCGAAGCACAAAGATGAAATCAAGAGCCATAGGCTGTCTATCGTGACTGACGTCTACTCCACCAAAAAAAGCTCTTTGACCACATGGACAGACTCCTCAAGGACGATCAGGGTCGGGTTCAAAGTCACTGCTCAGAATGCAGTGGACGTTGGAGCGGACGGTGCGTGGTATCTTGGTGCAGCGGCCGGAGGGTGGAATCATTATCAGGGCGAGGCAAGGCTTTTTCTACCCGAAATGTATATTAACATTTACTAACGCGTGTGTAGGCGGCCGACGAGGAGGTCGTGGTGTTCGCAAGTGGATTCAAATTTCACATCCACGAGCTCCTAGGCTGGGTCAGTATATCCATGTCGAAGCAGGTGACAGAATCTGATCGCCTTACAGACCAAAGTGACCACCCATCCCTTGGAGTCTACGTCGCGGCTTGCTGGCGATGCAAAAGATGAGACAATTGATGAAGAGACGCGACAGAAAGTCATCACAATGAAAAGCCCGGGAAGGAACGATACAGGCTACGAAATTCGTCTCGACACATTTGGGAAACCGCAACACGAAGGTGAAAAGGAAGAAGAGGAGGAAAGCGACGATAATCTCTGACTTGAAAAAGTCTGGAGCGTGGAGGAGCGCCGAGCGAGGAATCACAGGTACGGAGTTACACGATGGTAATAACAACACCAATACATATGGCTGCTGAGGCGACCAATCTTCCAATCGCGATGCTTTAGAGCCCCAACTGCTCTCTTAATCCCGATATCTGTCTCTCGACCATCTGCACCTGTTTTCTACCGGTTTGCTCCATCTCCCTTTCACGCTGTAGGTCCTTGGTAATGCTATCAACACTCTCGTGTTTCGGCTTTATCTGCTCCTGTAAGGATTCAAGTTGTCTCTGCAAGTCTTGCAGCATTTCCTGCTCCGAATGTATGATCTTTTCAAACTCTTCACTACGTGCTGAATGCTCACTGCATCGCGCCTTTGTCTCCTCCATGATCTTTCGGTAATTTCGGTACTCTAATACCTTTAGCCCTAACTGCTTGGCCACATCATCACCATTTGATCTTCCCATTTGTAATGGGCTTGCACTTCTCGCCTTGCTCCTGGAGTTTGCATGCTCGGTGTTACATCTTATCGGCGTCTGTTCAGCCGCACTCCCTTCCTGCACATGACTCTGTTCTCTTCCAGCAATTGATGTCGTGGTCTCTGTCATTCCCTGGACGGCGTTTGGCATAGCCGCTGCGCCATTTGTGGTAGACGTGAATGGCTCGCAAGTGGTCGGACCATTGGAGCTATTTTGCCCACGATCAGAACCTCGGACGTCATTGGGGATAGAAGAAGGAGCAGGTTGCCGAGCTTGGCGAGAGCTGTTAAGATGAGGGAAAGGATTGCTGATGGTGTCGTATGTTCTTCCTGGATCTCCCTTGATTCTGTTTCGGGCTATCTCCTGGGATCGTCACTTTGGATGGAATGACAGTCGATAAGTGGCTTGATTTATTAGCAACATTTCATTCTGGATGTAGTAATATATAAGATTTATCCAAGTTTACAATCCAGGCTTACCTAGATATACTTAGGATTATTACTATATAATCCTCTTATTAATAATATATATAATAGTGCCCTCTTATTTATTTGAGTTTAGCCTAAAGGTGGTCTTTATCTATATTACTTTTCTTTTAACAAGACTAGAGATCTAGTTACTATAGCTCTATAGCTTAGTAATAGAGTAGTTATCTATAGTGTTACGGTTCCGGCTCGCGATGCACGACTACTTAGTTAGTAGACTAGATATAAATATTAATATCGCCTATAGATACCTTCTCTTCTCTCTTTATAGAATATCTTTATACTATAGCTAGCAAACTAAGCTCTTACGCCTCTAGCTTCTACTATAGCCTAGAAGAATTAGAATATAGTACTATTTATAAGTACTATTTCTTAGAGAGATAAACTTATAAAACGCCTTTGAAAGAGACCTTCTACTATAATATTATACTATATATCACGATGCAGGAAGGCTTAATACTAGAACTTAATTTGTTAGAGTAATATATAAGACGTTGCACGAGATTGGAAGGTGTAGGAAGGAAAATAGGTAGAAAACTCCGCGAGTAGATTACGTGACTTAGTCATATAACCCTAGAATAACTAAAGATCCAAACGCTAAAGAACACTAAGTCTAAACTATAATAGTAGCTCCCCCCTAAGAGCCGAGTTTCTATAAGGCGTCTAAGTCGGGATTATATTCCAATTTAGTATTAGTATTCTTACTTAAATCTATAGGAGATAAGGAGCGGCTATAGGCTTTAAGCTTTAACTAATAAGCTTAGCTAGGCTTATTCGGGTAGCGTGTAAAGAAATAATTAACTTCTATAGGGGCTATTAGTATATAGTATAAGGGGTTCTAAGAGTCTTTATTTAAGCCGATCTAGTCTATAAGTACCTTAAAATAATTATAATAGTTTTAGGAGTTAAGAATCTAGTTTATACCCTATACGTCTTCCGCGGAGGTTCCTAATTAGGGGAAAGAAGATAGTAGAGCTTATCCTAGTAGTAGGTTATTAGTGGAGGGCTAGATTAGTAAGGTATAAAATATAGAGTAGTAGCGCTAGAACTAAGGAATCTCTAGGCGGTAGCTATATATACTAATAATTTCGGTGATATAGAAGAGGCTATAGTACTTATTTAAAAGCTTCTAGAGTAGGCGGCCCGATTATAAGTTATATGTGTCTAGATACATACTATCGCTAACTTAGTACTTTAGTATAGGGGCTTAGTAGTAGTTAGTAGCGTCCTTATAGGTGGCTTAAGCTAGACGCATCTACTCCTTTAGTTTCTAAGTAATAATTATTATCTTATTATAGAATCGGGCTGCTCCTTTATAGTCTAATTTAGCGGGTAGGTCTATAGTAGAAAGTTAAGGCTTTAAGCTAAGGAAAGGGTGTTAACTATAGTTAGCGAGAAATAGTAAGACTTATATAGTCTCTAATACGTGGTTATTATACGCGAACTCCGTATATAGTAGCTAGTCTACCTAGTCGTCCTATAGAAACACTATATATATATATAGGTATTACTCTAGAACTACATTAGCGTTCTTAGTCTAGCTATTAGTCTTAGGGTAATAGGCTATAGAGAGGTCGTACCGGATACCTAGCTAGAGGTATAGTTCCTTTTAGAACTAGCTAATAAATTAGCTCTCTTAATCTAAGATAATAGATCTAGGAATACTATAGTACTTCTAAATATAACAAAAGAAGAGCGCTATAGTAGTTAGCGCATCTATCTTACTATAAGGAATAAAGTGCCGCATCTTAGAGAGGCGATCTATAACTATAAGAATATTCTTATATAAGTTTTCTTAGTAGTCTTTACTCTTAGGGAGTTTAATAATAAAGTTAAGAGAGATATTAAACTAGCGCCAATCCGGTATAGATAGGGGCTTTAATAAGCTATAGTAGTAGTCCCGCGAGACCTTCATGCGAGTGTAGATAGAATAGTTATAGATAAACTAGCGGACATCTTGCGTTATTCTGGGCTACTAGTAGGAGCGTGCTAGAATATTAAATGTCTTTACCCTCCTAGAATATCTAATAGCTAGGGGTGAGTGCGCCTTATATAGGGCGCGTGTTCTAACCTAGTAAGAGTCTAGTAGAAATTAGCGATCTTAGTAGATAATTCGGTTATCCTCTTTATAGACTTTAGATAGTAGGAAGCTCTTAAGCGTACGGGTGCCTTATTATAGATAGGTTAAAATCTCTTAAGCTTACTCGTCTAATATATAGGCGGAATTAATGTCCTAGTCTAGTATAGTTTTAGGAATTTCGTCTAGTACTTTAATTATATCTAGCTAGATTACTAGTAGGTCTTTTTTATCTTTAGTATCTTATAGAGGGTTAGTGGGGGTGGTAGAGAATCTAGTAGGAGCTAAATGAATCTTACTAGTAGCTAGAAGAGCGCGCTTTAGCTAAGAATCGAGGTTATACTACTTTAGTACTATTTAGAACTAGTTTTTTTAAGAATTACTCCCTCCTTTAGTAGGGAGGTCTCTAGACTAATAAGTTAAGGCATCTACTATTATATTTAGGCTACCCTTTTAGTAGGTAATCTTAAAGTTAAAACGGGATAAGAACTTACTCTAGCAGACTTAGTAATAATTAAGAGACTTTATAGATATAAAGTACTTAAGGTTCTTATAGTCTATAATAATATTAACTAGCTCTTCTATTCCTTCTAGTTCTAGACGCTAGGCCTCGAAGGCCTTAATAATAGCTAGTAGTTCTTTATTATAAATCTTATAGTTGCACTTAGTAATAGATATTTTTATTAAGAAGTAAGCTATAGGACGGAGTTAGCCTTCTGTATCTAGTTAGTAGAGTATACTAGCTATAATATAGTCTAAAGTGTCTATTTCTATAGTTATAAGCTTAGTCTAGTTAAAGTACTAAAGGATTAGCGCGGTAATAAAGGCGTGCTTTAACTTCTAAAAGGCAAACTTACAGTCTAGAGACTATAGAAAGGCCTAGCCCTTACAAGTAAGACTTATAAGAGGTGAGATAATCTTAAAGAAGTTCCGGATAAAATAATAATAGAAGTTTGCGAAGCTAAGGAAGCCTTAAATATTCTTTAGGTTCTTTAGCTAGGCCTATTCTTATATAGCGGAGACTTTTACTAGGTCTATTTTAATACTTTCTATTAAGGTAATTAAATTAAGATACTTAACTTTCTAGACGTAGAATTCGCACTTCTTAATATTAACCTATAGACCTACCTCTTATAGGCAGGTAAGTACTTTATAGACATAGTCCTAGTATTCGCTTAAGGTATTACTATAGATTAGAATATCGTCGATATAAGTAGTATAGAACTAGTCTAAGTATTTCTATAGGATGTTATTAATATAGTGCTAGAAAGATAAGGGCGTGTTAGATAATCTAAAGGGTATTACTAAGTATTTATAGAGGCTATAGCAGGTCCGGAAGGCTATAAGCTATTTATTACCCTTTATAACACGAAGCTTATTAAAAGCCGCGATAATATCGAGCTTAGTAAAGTACTTAGCTAATAAGAAGCGCGCGAGAGTTTCCTAGATAAGCGGGATAGAGTACTTATTCTTAACTATAATCGCGTTAAGGCCCTAGTAGTCTATATAGAAATAGAGGCCCCCTCTAGGCTTCCGGATAAAAAGAATAGGGGAGGCTATAGGGCTACTACTAGAGCGGATAAAGCCCTTTATAAGGTAGTCTTCTAGGTACTTTTTTAGGACAAGTAGCTCCTCCTAAGATATTCTATATAGAGGTCTAGTAGGCGGTTCTATCCCTAGCTATAGCTGGATATAGTAGTTATAGGTGTAGTGCGGAGGCAACTAGTCTAAGAGGTATTTCGAAAAGATATCTAAGAATTTATAGTACTTAGGGGGTAAGATAGTAGCTAGGTCTATAATTTTCTTAGAAGCAAGGGCCTTTTTAATATCTCTTATTATAATTGCGAAGAGCTAGTAGCCCGTCTTCTTAGTATTTACTAGGCGGGTAAAGAGTACTACGCCGATTACATAAATATCTAGGGTCTTTTATAGAGGTAAGGCGAGATTAAGTAGCTCTTTAGCCCTCTTCTAGGGTACTATAATAGAGTCTAGATAGGTGTAAGGGACAGCGTTCCTATTAAGGAGTACTAATAGTCGTTAGTTAGCATTAAGTATAGCGCAGCAAGCTAGTAGCTAAGGGTATCTAAGAATAACTAAGAAATAACTAAGGTGAGTAATAAAGAGGGTAAGGGTCTATTTAAATAACTCTACTAGAAACTTAACTTAGACGAAGTGGGTAATATTACTAGTAGCGGTAGGGTGCCTATTAATAACTTTAAGGGTAATAGAAGAACTAAGGGGAAGAAGATAAAGGCTAAGGTTTTATGTATAAGATTAGTTAATAAAAGTGGTACTAGAAGCTCTAGTGTTAATAAGAGCGGTAGACTTATATTTACGTGAACTAGTAACTAAAGTATAGTTAACTATAAGGTGTTAATCTTTATTAAAGTCTTACTAAGGAGATTAGGAGATTAAGGAAAAGAAAATCTTAACTATTTTAGGTGTAGGTCTCTACAAGTAACTTCTAGTAGAGACTACTTGTTTTCTAAGCGAGCTAAGTCTCTAGATAGGGTAGTAGAGTCTAGAGTATTAGGAGCGGAACTAAAATTAATCGCGTGTATAGCGGCACGAGGTTTCTTTAGGTAGTTATAAACTATATAATCGCTACTATAGTATAGGCATTTATTATTATTAAAGCGCTACTACTTTATCTTAAGTGTAATTAGACTATATTAGATATATCTAATTATAAGGTCTATAGGGTCGCTATAGCTATAAGTCGCGGGTATAGACTACGGTGTGGTAGGTCTAGAATAGAAAGTAGGCGAGAAAGTAATTATAGTAGTTATTATATAGGGGGTACTAGTAGCTAGAAGTATAGTTAGAAAGACGCGCTTTTAGAAGGATAATAAGCCTATAGCCGCACTAGTAGTAGTGTATAGACGCCTATTAATACGCTAGTATAGGTAGAAGTACTTAAGGTAACTTATATTCTCTATATTTTAGCTTACTAGAGTGGCTTAAATCTTATTTAATAGGCCTATAAAGAGTATAGACTTCTTTCTATTATTATTATAGCTAGTATTATGGATGTAGCGCTAGAACTTAGTGGTAAATAAGATAAAATCATGATTTTTTTAGTAGAGCTTAGTAATTTTAGCTTACGTGGTCGCTTTAGGATTTAGATTACTAAAGGATAGTTTAAGGTGCTTAATTATCTCCTTAATAGAGCTAAACTCGAGTGTACTATTAGCTAGAATATATAGGAGGAAGAGTGCCTATATAGTACCCTTTAGGCAATTGTATAGATATAAGGTTTAGGCGGCTTAGGTAGGGTATTAGTTAGCGTTAATACTAAGCTTTATACGAATATTCGCGATAAAGAAGTAGAGGGTAGTATAGTTAGAACTAAAAAATAGTTTTAGGTTAGAAAGCTTCTCTAACTTCTTAGTCGAGATAGTATTTAATTAGGTAGTTTAGGTAGTAAGTTAAGCGATTTACTCAGTCGCTTTAGTATATATAATAATAGCTGTATTATATTATATAGCTAATACATCGCGCTACTACGTAATATCTTTAAGCTATTCTTTAAATGTACTAAAGTAGGTGTACATCTCGTTAAACTAGTTTAAGAGGTTAATAAAGAACTAGTACTAGATGTTAGGGTCTTTTAGGACTTTAGTAGCGAGAGCTATAGGCGAGTTAATAGCTATAGGAGCTTATAGAGTGTTAGGAGCGTTGCCTATAGACGTAGAGGCTTTAGTAGAGCTAGAAGGGGATATAGTAGACCGCAGCTAAGCTATAATAAAAGATAATTAGTAGGTGTAATATAATATCACAATATAGAAAGGCTTAATACTAGAACTTAATTTATTAGAGTAACATACAAGATGTTATATAAGGTTGGAAGATATAGGAAGAAAAACAAGTAGAAAACTCTATAAATAAATCATATAACTTAGTTACGTAACCCTAAAATAACTAAAGATCCGAACACTAAAGAATACTAAGTCTAAACCGTAATACTATAAATATATAAGAGTATTAATAGAGCTAACAATTTACTAAAAGTGAGCCTACTAGAGATAGTAATTAATAAATAAATATTAGATCTATAGAGTATAAACTCAGAAATCTCTAGCTTATTAAAGGCTTAATTACTAAAAATAGTACAAGTAGTTCTAGTATTTATAGCTAACGTACTCTACAGGCGAGCCGGTTACTATACTAAGAGAATACTAAAATTATAGTAGTTTTATAATAGTACTATAGTATATAGTATAATACTATAAGTTATAGTATATTATCTTATTCTAATACTATCTCTACTTTATTTTTATATATATATAAGTTATATTCTATCTCGCTATACCGCCTATAGCGCCTTTAGTACTAATTACTCTTATTAATACACGCTCTCTTCTTATTCTTCTTACTATTACTATAAGCGCTAAACTCCTTTAGAGTAGTTAATTAATAACCCTCTTTAAATATTAAGGTCTCTCTCTTTAGTACTCGCTTTCTTTTATGTAATTTATATTATATAGCGGTTTTATTAGCTACTTAGAGCTTAGCTACCTACTTATATAGTAGAATAGCTAAATATATTATTATCGTAGCGCTTTTAGTAAACTAATCAAGCGACTTAATAATCGAAGTAGATAAACTATTAATATACCTTTAAATTCTCTCTCTAATTAGCTTTAATTAAGATCTAAACTTAATAAGATTACTTAGTATTTTTAGCTTCTAGAGACTATTATTAATAGTAGAGGTATAGGCGTGCGTAACTATACTTTAAGCTTTAATACTATAGCTTCTAAGTCTAATAGAACTAGGCTAGCGCCTCTAAAGCTTTCTAAGATATTACTTTTAGTAATTAAGGCATTAAAAGCGGCTTTAAAATAGGGTAGAAACTCGGTTTTTATAATATAGTTAATACAGCCTTATATTAGATCCTTAACTTAGCGCCTATATACCTTCTCTAAAGGTAAGAAACAGCCTATATCTAGCGGCTAGAGTAGATGTAATAAGTATAGAGGTATATAGAGAGTAATAATTCTCTTCTCCTTATAGAGTTTCTAGAGTTCTAGTAAGTTATAGCTCTTATATCTATCTAGAACTAAAAGATAGTATAAGCTAATAGTATAACACTTTATATACTTATTAAAGTACTTTAACTATTTAATACTAATCTTATTAGTTGTCTAGCTATTTTTAGTAACTATAATAGCCTAGATAGAGAGTATATTATCCTCTTTATACTAGGTAGTAAGGTGGTGCTTACCTATAAAGATAATAAATAGTAGAATTACCTACTCTATTACGTTAATACTCTAGATTACTATAGTCTATTCGCAATTACCTAAGTAAATAGCTTTTAGCTAATTCTATCTATTTAAGCCTATAATAACCGCTTCTATTAAAATAACGTCTATTATAAAGCTAGATTTATTAAAGTTATAGGTATCTTCGTCTGTAATACTATACTTAGTCTTTATATTCTCTACTAGCTTAAACTACCCTCTAATAACCTCTAGATCCTTGTATTTAGCCCTTCTATAGTTATACTTTTAATTAAACTTAACTTTAAGCTCTAGTTAGCGCTTAATAAAAGTATTAGCCTAGTTTATATCTACTAGGTCCTAATAATACTTAGCGAGTAGAGAATCTACTATATCCTTTATAGTAGTAAGCTAGAGCGGAAACCCTTAATAATCTAGGTTTAGTATATACTAGATAATTGCTAACTCCTCTATCTATATAAGCTTTATTAAATTAGGCCTATAATCGCGTTGGAAGGTAGTTCTAGCGTGTTAGTTATTAAGAGTACTTTAGGAAATATTATAGATAGCTATAGCGCGTTACTAGGTTAAAGTTATATCTTATTTAAGAGCCTAAAGAGTAAGCTATATACTGTCTTTATTATAGAGTGATTGCGCTTTAGTATATTAAGGTATTACGAACTTAGTAGGAGTTTAGTGTTCTTTTAGCACAGTGACCGGCTCGCCCGTGTGACTGGCTCGCCTGTGGAGTATATTACCACGCGTACGAGTAAGCTAAAAAGATATAGTTTCAACCGAATATAGTTGAATCGTAGTGAATAGCTGTATCCTTACATTCTTTTATGTAGTCCGTCTTTCGTCGTTCCGACGCGAATCTGGAAATAGTTACATATACGCGAGATTTCTAAGGAGGTGAGAATACCGCCTTAAGAGAGAGTTCTCCGTTGCTCTCTCTCTTGAGCACGAAGCTTTTCCACGAAGCTACCGGCATATCCAGCCCTGGCTTCAACGCAGCAATAACACCTGCATGAGTTACGACAACCACGTCTTTCCTCCCAGTATCTCGCAGATTTGCGAGCCGATCTTCCAATTTGTGTAGGATTCTATCCACTCTACTCTTAACGGCGGCCGGATCAGGCGACCACTTTCCTTTCTTCAGATGCCAGTCCTCTGGCAGACTGCTGAAATCAAGCTCCGGAAACCAGGACTCCAACATGTGCGATTCAGACCCCGTGTTAGCGGGCTCGATCCCTATCTCCTGCAAATCTGGATCAAGCACCAAGTTGACACCTTCCTCAGCCTCACTGGGGACTCCTCCTCGTCCAGAGCCCACCGGGTAGTAACGTCTGTGCAGGATTCGCGGGAACGCAGTGAGCGAGGTCTGGATCGTGCGACGGAGTGGAGATGTAAGAACTACTCCAACAGTGTTGGAGTTTGCTTCGGTGAACTCGCTGCTGAGGGTTTCGGCCCGGTAGAAGGCTCGTTCGGTTAGGGATGGGTCGCGAAGGGAAGGGTTGTTGAAGAGGTTGTGTAGGCCCTCTGCGTGGCGGACTAGGTGGATCTTTCCCAAAGACATGCTTGTGGAGCTGGAAGAGGGTATGTTTGCGAGGAAAGGAGAAGTGGGTTAAGGATGGTATAAGTTTCCAGCTATGAACTCTGAGATCCTCTAATAAGGTAAACCGGGTCGGATTACAGACTAAGAGGGCTCGATCAGTGTGCCTTATGCTCAACGTATCGTGTAAGACGAGCTAAAATGCCCCTTTGTAGCTTGACTTCCCCACCTCAGAAGCTCCCCGCTTCAGAGTCATTTCTCAAGATCCAGTCTACCCGATTACTTCAGCCTTGCTATACATGGCTTTACCCTTTGTCCTTAGCAGCATAGTCAGACGCCCGTGACCAAATCGATCCTGCGTGCATATTATATCTAGTTCGTATCCAGTGATGCTATTATGCAGAAGGCTTGCTTCTACCCTATGTATCCGCAAGGTCGTAGGTCCCTAACGAATCATGGCAAGAGTTGTTTCGTAAAACGCAATTCCAACAGCTTGTTGCTTACTCTACGGCTTACCCTCAGCCCTTCAGCTCGAGCTTGGCAGGCGTTGTTCAATCGCTCGATCCGCTGCGGAGGCGTAACGTGGCGTGACTAACTCTATAGCTGAAGTTTCATGATTCTTTTACGACTGGAACGCGGAATTCAGGGAAGATACCTCGTATGTGATATGGTAGGATGGTTGCGTAGAGTCCAATTGAGCTTTATAATAGTTTGGGCAAGCACTGCCCCTACAACTCGTTAAGACTTGTATAGGTTAGTATCCTGGGGGATTTCTTGCCCCGCTCTCTCCCAACTTACCTAGACATTATTGTCTTAGCAAGACTAGAGCCTGTTGTTTCAATAGGATGGTAGATAAAGACCGTTATCTTACAATGCGAATATTTAAGCTGTTGACCAAGGAATCTGACGGTACAGAATGTCATTAAATACAGAAATCCCTTGACAAATTTTGCATTGAGCCCGAGATCGTAACAAGCCATAATGAAACAAATATTCCAGCCCGTTCAGGACATTCGTCACAACTCGTCCCTATTCTCAGGGAACGGGTTGCCAACCTGCCTCTAAGCTTACTAGACCTTTTCAATATGCTCACCAGCATTCTCGATGGTAAGGTCTACAAACTCCTTAGTTGTCGCGTTTTCGCCGAGCTTACCACTCGTTAGAGCTTTATACCAGATAGAGCTAGTGCCTTCCTAGGCGTATCCTCTAATCGCACTAGCAGCGTGGTAATAGGCACGATTAGGGATGCCGGAATTAAAGTGAACACCGCCACGATCTACGGTGATATCAAGATTCTTAAAGTCGTCCCAGTATGCCGGCTGGGGGTCTTTTCCGACTAGTTCATTATTATAAGCCGTTCTAGGGCTCTTTATGTCGCGGAGAGCTCTGCTTTTAATATCTTTAGCCCAGAGTCCTTCGCCGATAAGCTAGTTGGCTTAGTTGACGGTCTAAGGACGCTCCGGATCTTCAGTCTATTACTTAACTATAACGCTAAAAATATCGGCAAGCGGCTCGTTAAGAGCGCCGCTCTGGAACTTATAGTTGAGCGGGCTAAGGTACTGCAACAGGCTATAGGTAAACTCGTGGCCGATAATATCGAGCTTATCTATAAAGCTATCGAAAATTTTGCCGTCTCCATCACCGAAGACCATCTCTTTACCGTCCCCAAAGGCGTTTAGATAACTCTCGCCAAAATGCACGAAACTATCGAGCTTTAAACCCCTACCGTTAACTGAATCGCGCTTGAAGAACTCGGAAAAGAAGTCATAAGTCTTCTTAAATCCAATGTAGCACTTATTGGCGTTATTGCTTAGATCTTCTTCCTTACTAATAAGAGCACTGCCTTCCTTAATTATAACCTTATCGCGGGGAGGATCGTTAAAGTCCCAGTAATTCTAAGCATCGTAAACTATACGTTTTAAATAGCGTACAGTCCCTACAGCTACACGAATTTTAGTGTCGTGCTCTAGTGTATAAAGGGATGCTTCGCGTTACTCTACTGTTGCAGCATGCCGGGCAATAGCTTCGTGGATGTAAGGTGGAATGATACCTTCAGCGACCTGTTGCTGCTGGGTTAATGCGATGCTCTGCCCCTGCTGGATACGGGCGTCCTGAATCTCCCTTGTCTTGTTGATGGTGGACTGACAAGCATCGATAAAGTTTTGTGGTGCCCCGCCCTTATCGATGATTTGTTGTAGTACGTATTCTGGAAGGCATTCACATGGCTTGATTGCCTCACCTCCAGCCGACTATTGCTGGCCAAGCAATCTCCCGTCGCTGAAAACTCGAAAGCTGAATTGTTCTCGGTAGTATGTACGGCCTATTGGCTCCGCGTCCAAGAGGTGGTGTTGTGAGCTGCCAAGAGGACGAATCTGACCTCAGCAGCCTACCTGCAGGGCTTGAGCTCGGGCCTGGGGGCCGATGCGCGGATGCGGGGCTCCCCACGGAAGACTTGGCAGTCGGCCTAACCTGACACCTCAGCCCCGAGATAGACTTTCGTCGTAAGGGAAGCGCAACACTCTCTAATACAATGCTTAGATATAAATTATGCTTACGTCTCGATTTGTTAAATTTCAAGATTTGCGGGACAAAGGCTGATGCTTACAAGCATGTTAGGCGCCTTCCTGTTCCTCTTTGGACGCTTTCTCGCTCCACTTTCAACGCGTTCCTTACCCTCCCTCAGCCTGGCCGTAGTGCTGAGCATCCCGTCTGAGGACATGTTCACAGCTCTGCGGAGATCCTGGGCTACGAAACTAGTTTGGTTCTGCGCCAGATATCGCCCTCTATCTTTCAGCCGTGCCAACCCTGACACTGGGCTGCAATATACTAGGAGATGATTCCGAGCTGTGAAGGAGCAGGCTTACGTTCAACGCTGACACTTTAACACTACCTAAAAACGGAGTAGAGTTGATTAAGAGGATGAGGCTTATAGGCCGCTCTACGGTTCTTTCCTTTAACTAGCTAGCCTTAAATATATCACAGACCGAGAACAGCGAATCGCCAGCCGCGGAGCAGATCACCTTTACAAAGTGACATAGTCCAAGGAATGGCAAACACAGCTATGTGGTGGGTTCTTCCGCGCGACGTCCCGCCTGGGATATAACACGGACTTTCATCCCACCCCCTTGGACCCGCACCTGTGTGGGGTGGACAGAAGGCTGACACCCCAGAAATACCGGGGCTGAAGTAACTCGTGTAATACAGGCTTTTCCAATTAGTCAATATCAAGGTAGATCCATCCAATTTGTCGATAGGTATGAGAGCTGAAGCTAAAGCCCGCATACACTGCATCAAGCACCCCAGTTTTCCAAGCACACAGATATTTAAGGCGGGCTGAGATCAGACGATGGAGTTGTTTCAATTTCTCCACAGGTGACTGAATCTTTTCACATCTGCACTTCGAGCCAAACGAAGACAATCTTCATTTGCTACCCTTACTAAAAGAATCTTTCTTCGAATTCTTGCTTGACTCATATCATGGCGGATATCCCGCAGCCTTTCATTTGTGGCTTCGTGCCCCCATACATTCTCCAGGCTATAGCCAGCTCTGATTCCTACCCGGAAGAGTCTCGTCTCGCCTGTCTACATACACTGAAGCATGCAAAGTCTTATGCGGATGAACGCGATGACTCGTGTGCTTACGACCACGTTAGTTCTCTCCCCCACACGTCCCCGGAGCGATTGCTCATTCTAAGGAGGTCCTCGCTCAAGCACAGCAAGCAGCGCAGCAGGAAGCACAGCAAGCAGCGCAGCAGACCCTGGCGGCGGCAGGCGGTGAGCCCGCCGCAGGCGGCGAATCCGCGGCCCGGATGCAAATAAGGATCTACGACTGTAAAGAGACCGCAAATCGTCCTGGAACGCTTGCGAGATCGGAGGGACAGGCGCGTGTTAAGGACCGCCAAGTCAACAACTGCTACGATGGATTCAGAATCACTCACGATTTCTTTTCCGAAGTCTTCAAACGCAACTCTCTTGATCATAAGGGGCTGCCCCTTATTGCCAGCGTTCACTACAAGCCGGCTACCGCACCGAACGGGTACAACAATGCCTTTTGGGACGGCATGATGAATCAGATGGTTTTCGGCGACGGCGACCACATCTTCTTTGACTACTTCACCGACTCGCTGGACGTAATCGCCCACGAACTAAGCCATGGCTTTGTTCAGTACTCCTCACCGCTTATCTACTATGGGGAGTCCGGAGCCTTAAACGAGTCTTGCGCCGACATCTTCGGATGTATGGTCGAGCAGTGGCATATGCGTCAGACCGCGGCTGAGGCGGACTGGAACCTTGGGCAGACGATGTTCCCGGTGGCTTTCACGGGCTCTGCCTTGCGGACTTTAAAGGCGGGCAGAGCATTTGTCAACGACCCCGTCTTCAGAACCGACCCACAGCCGAAGCATATGGACAAAAAATACAAGGGAAAAGGGGATCGTGGAGGCGTCCACATCAACTCAGGAATCCCAAACCATGCATTCTATAAAGCAGCAACACGTCTTGAGGGCTCTTCGTGGGATAAGGTCGGTAGGGTGTGGTATAAGACGATGACCTCGGGTGAGATTCTGCCCGACTGTAACTTCCACAGATTCGCCGAGGTCACAGTCAAGATCGCTAAGACGGAATTTAACCAAGATCAATCTGTGTGGGAAGCAATACACGCTGCCTGGGGCGAGGTCGGAATACGTGTTCCGACTGAGTCTACGGGAGCGGGCGAAAGTGCTAAGGGTGAAGAATTAAAGGTTAACGTTTAAGAATTAGGTGCTATAGGGAATAAAGGGCTCTAAGATTCCAAGTCTACTATCTTATAAGATATGGTGCAAGGTTTGTGATTATCCCATCGGCTGGCAGTATGATTAAAATTAGTCCGTTTGCAGGCGGTCTTAGCACCACTACACCCAGAATTACTTGCTCGGAATTCACTCAAATTAGACTATTTATGAGGCTGACTGACTGACACTTCCATACCGAATTGACTGACTGACTGACTGACACTTCCATACCGAATGACTGGTACTGCATGCCCTTTTCGTTCCAGCCCCTAGTACTGCATGCCCTTTTTGTTCTAGCCCCTCGTCCCAATTATCTAACCCTCTAGTTGGCTGCTAAACCATCACCCTACCCGCACCAAACTGCTCACGCTAGCACTAACTACCCGCCCCAGGCAGAATAATACAATCCCCCGCCTCTAGAATTCTACGCCGCTAGGCCCATCCGTAGAAGCCTTTGTCTATAGACCCTTCCCCTTACACGGTCCTTAACTAGATTATGGCCGTACTAACGCGAACACGAACATGGACGCGTCTAGCGACCACTACGTGTCGCCAGGCCACCCTACGTGTTCTTCTACCTCCATGTATCCTATCTACCACCCCTCGCCTACACCTTTCCCCCCTTCCTCTATGCGCCTTAGCATCCCATCGACCGCACTATGGATCTAGATCTATTTAACTACCTCCTAGGCCTTAAGGTCCTTGTCTACCAACCGTGCAAGCGCGCTATCGCCCCGTCCTATATCTGGACCCACCTAAAAGACCACTATAAGAGCCATCCGTCCGCACAGCCTCCCTCCGCTATAGGCCTAGCTATAGCCGCCCTCCTTAAGCAGTATCCGCTCGCCGACCCTGAGGCGGACTCCTTTAAGCTCCCAGCCCTATTCGCCCCCGCCATCCTGGACGTTCCGATCTTTAAGGACGGCCTACTATGCCCACAATGCCCCTTTATAGGGCGGAAGCAGGAGACTCTATAGAGGCACCTCCGTGTCCAGCACGAGGTAGGCTTCAGCCGCAGGGGCCGGCCTGCTAAGCGGGTGAAGAACACGGCCGCCAAGCCTCCGCTACAGACCATCTACTACTAGCGCCTCTTTGCTGCTAGCCATGCTAGCGGCTACTTCGCCGTGCTATCGCCCGCCTAGCGACAGCAGTAGGAGAAGGAGGAGGAGGGGAGAAAGGTTCGGACTTAGCGACTAGGGGCCCGGACGGTCCCCCTAGCGGATCTTATTAGGGCCTAGGTGGACCGAGTGCTAGAGGGAAGCCTTGCTAATGCGGAGGTAGAGAGCGGTATAATCTAGGAAAGCTCTTTTAGGATAGAGGTGTCCCTCTAGCTTAAGATAACCTAGTGGCCCCGCTACCTATAGGGCTATAGTATAGTAGACATCGTGCAGCTTGCTAAGGCCTCTAACCCTATTAGCGAGCCTACGCTAGAACTTATTAGGTAGAGCCTTAAGTAGTTAGTTAAGGGGGCGCGGCAGTCGATTAGTAATAGGAAGATTAACGCCTTTAACTAGACTAAGATTAATAGCCTTTTCCAATAGGCTCGGGCGTGGGACCGGCCGCTACTTATAAAGCTATAGAAGTGCACCTATAGGAAATACATTAGTATATAGAAGCGGCTCCTCTACTTCGCCTACTAGACCGCCGCCCCAGCGCAGCCTATTAGGCTCTCCCACCACCTTACTATAGGCCAGCAGTCCTACCTCGACGAAATGCTCCTAGCCATAGAGTCACTAGACCTACTATAGCGCCTACTATAGCGCTATTAGTAAGAGGGTCGCCTAGATAGCGGTATCCTCCTAGGTGCGGTAAGCGAGGGGGAGCTATGATATCGCCTAGACTAGGCAACCCTACTATTCTACATTAAGATGCTCGACTAAAAGCTTAGAGGCGATCTCTTTAAGAGTGTTGCTGTTAGCTTCCTCGCCGCGCTAGCCGTAGAGCTAAAGAAGGGTATCTTTAGGGACGCGTGTAGCTATACACCCCACCTATCCGGATTTGTTAAGATCGCCTAGATGCTTATTATATAGTAGGCTATTATAATAGCTAACGATAGCTATGTTAACTACCTAGGCGATATCCTTAATAAGATGTACGGTCGCTTTCTAGTCTACAGCACCTAGTCTCTATTTAATTGGGCGCTACGGATGCGCTCGTATAGAAAGGCGATCCGGAATAATACTATAGTAGTTAGCTATATTAGCTAGTCGGATGATCAGGAGAAGCTCTCGTATAAGGGGCTAGAGCTATATATAGTAGACTTTAAGGACTTTATAAGCAACTAGCTATAGCTAGCGTAGTCGTAGCTAAAAGACCTCCTACTTATATACTAAGAGGAAGAGAAGAAAGACATCGTGCCCTAGCTTTAGCTTAGCGACCTTAAGGACGACCCGTTGCGGAATAAGAAGGAGTGGAGCTTCCTAAAGAACGTCCGGAATAGCCGCGTCCTAGCGCTAAGTAAGCGCTAGCTACTAGATTATATTCTAGAGAACAACTAGCTGTAGGATGAGTTTCTTAAGGTGGATTAGCGTAGTGCTATAGCCACCTAAAAGAAGGATGTGGTAGTAGGGTATACCTCTTAAATTAACGCCTTTCTTAAGCGGCTCCTACTAATTATTCACGTGACCTCTAGCTAGCTGGCTTAGGGGACGGAGATACTAAGCCTATAGCACCTAAATATAGTCTATAGGTACCACTAGAGTATCTTTATCGAGAATAGCTTACTTAACACTATAATAATATACTATAAGGGCTATAGTATTACGAGCTCCACTAAGATTATCTATTACTATCTACTAAGGGAGGTTAGCGAGCTAGTAGTATACTACCTCTAGCTCATTCTACTATTCTAGTAGCAGCTAGACATCCTCGCGCTATCTAGAGTAAAACTCATCTCGCTATTCCTATAGCCCTCGCCTAAGGCGTAGGGTTGCTAGAATAGCACCTAGTTAATAAAGGTGCTCCTAAGGGAGGCTACTAAGCACCTTAAAACCTACCTTAATATTATAACCTATTAGCACGCTGTGATTGCAATCTCGCGTGTCCACCTTAAGTGCGGAGGCTTTAAGAGAGACTATAGTATGAATGAGTTAAGGGTTAACAACTAGGCGGCCCACACCTTATAGATAGCTGGGACCGTCTACACTTAAGGGCTCTAAAAGGCGCTTAGGTATATAGAAGCTAAAAAGGCGGAGTATTAGGTGGTAAGTAGGGAGTAGTATACCTTTCTAGGGTTCCGCGCTTCTCTACCCACTAGAAAGAGGCCGCTTAGCGAGCTGGATAATAGAAGAAGCTAACTAAGTAAGGGGTTAAAGTGAAGATAGCGGGAGGATATAGAGATAGGTAAGAAAGAGAGAGTAGTAGTATAGGACTAGGATGACTAGCGCGAGAGGCGCTAGAGCGGAGGCACGGAAGGGTTCTTCTATAGAAGGCTTTATCGAAATAGCTAAAGGAGGCTACTGCCGCTATAGCCTCTTTACGGCAACTATCTACTTTAATAACGGTAGAAAGAGCGGCCTTTATTAACTAGGGGCCTCCTATTAAAGGCTTCCTCAACTAACCCTATAGGGGCACCGTAGTAATAGCTAGGCGATAGTAGAGAAGAGGCTAAGTTCTATTCTATACTCTACAGCCCATCCCGCGCTAGCGTCGCGCTAAAATGTCTTAGTACTAGGAACATGGGTTAGGGTTAGGGTTAGGGTTAGGGTTAGGGTTAGGGTTAGGGTTAGGGTTAGGGTTAGGGTTAGGGTTAGGGTTAGGGTTAGGGTTAGGGTTAGGG